GGCTGGGGATTCGAACCCGCCACCTTAGGTGTACGTGGCTGGCGCCTTAGCCGGTTGAGCTATAGGCGCCGAGCCTGTCCTTACCAACTTTAACAAAGGCCAAGATCCAGCCATACTTTAATGGACCCCAGAGGCATCTTGAAGGCATTTCCCAAGCGGAAGAAAATTCATGCCAATCCATCATCAAAAGCACTTGCAAAGATTCCCAAAAGGGAAGAGGGAGAAGAAGCAGGAGGTGAGCCAACCAATCCTCAGAACCCTACTCTGCCGCACTTCCAGAATCAGATCTTGGAGCTGACTCTGCCTGTACAGGGCCTGCAGGTCTCTTTTACCTGCCTTGTACTGAGCTTCTACCCTGGTCATTGACAAGCTATTTGCTGTGTTATCTTCTTTCTCCAAGATCTGCTTCAATCAGAAGGCTCTCCTTGATTCCCCAGAAAATGACTAGGAGAATCTTTTGCTTCCAGGAAGCTGGGGGGCAGGGCAGGGCTGGGGTTTCCAAACAGAAATCATCCTCCAGTCCCTAGGCTTACTATAAATTGTTTCACGGCCAAATTGACAAATAAAGGCAGAGATTTGGGGGATGGAGGTGTTAGGTCTGCTAGACTAAAAGGGCAAAAAGTATACAATAGCAAGAAACATGGCTCACTGCCTATAATCCTAGCACTTTGAGAGGCTGAGGCAAGTGGATTGCTTGAGCTCAGGAGTTCAGAGACCAGTGTGAGCAAGAGTGAGACCCCATCTTTACTAAAAGTAGAAAAACTAGCTGGGTGTTTTAGTGAGTGCCTATTGTCCCACTTACTGGGGAGGCTGAGGCAGGAGGATTGGTTGAGCCCAAGAGTTTGAAGTTGCTGTGATATCATAACACTCTACCCTAGGCAACAGAGTGAGACTATCTCAGAAAAACAAAAGAAATTTGTGGTTTGTTGAAAGAATAAATGATAGGCTTGGCACCTGCAGCTCAAGCAGCTAAGGTGCCAGCCACATACACTAGAGCTGGTGGGTTGGTATCCAACCTGGGCCCACCAAATAACAATGACAACTACAACCAGAAAATAGCCAGGCTTTGTGGTGGGCACCTGTAGTCCAGCTACTTGGGAGGCTGAGGCAAGAAAATTGCTTAAGCCTAGGAGTTGGAGATTGCTGTGAGCTGTGATGCCACAGCACTCTATCTGTGACAGCTTGAGGCTCTGTCTAAAAAAAAAAAAAAGGAAAGAATAAATGATAAAATGAAGGGATTCAGAGAAGGGAGGGAGAAGGCATTTATTTGTTCATTCAACATATATTTATAGGTTACCCAAAGTGTGCCAGATTCTGTCCTAGGTTCCAACAGAAAACAAGGTGTATAAAAATCCTTGCCCCTTACATTCAAGTGATGGCCCACTTTGCTCTATGCTTGTGGTAGAATCCCCAGAAGGAAGGATGTCTGGACAGAGGAAAAATAGTTGTTTTGGGGGAAGGGACTGTGAATAGTTCATTCAGATCATAATCAGGAAGTTAACAAAAGTTAGGTTTCTGAATGTCCCTCTGCAGAGTGGCTGAGCTCCCTTCGGGCCCATATTGTGCCCACTGGCATTGGACGAGCTCGAGCAGAACTTTTCAAGAAGCAGATTGTCCAGCATGGTGGCCGGATATGTCCTGCCCAGGATCCAGGAGTCACTCACATTGTGGTGGATGAAGGCATGGACTATGAGCGGGCCCTTCGCCTCCTAAGGCTGCCCCAGCTGCCCCTTGGTGCTCACCTAGTGAAGTCAGCCTGGCTGAGCTTGTGCCTACAGGAAAGAAGGCTGGTGGATGTAGCTGGATTTAGCATTTTCATCCCCAACAGGTGGGCTGCTCCCTGTATTTTTTCAAATGTTTTCTGGCAGCATCTTGAAATTATTCTTGAGTTACTAAACACTATCATCTTAGACACATTGGAAAACCAAGGTTTCAGAGGAGAAGATAAGGAACAGAAATAGAGTAAGACCTTTCTTATCTTTATCTCCATCACCATCACTGCAGGTATTTGGATCAACCACAGCCCAACAAGACAGAACAAGATTCTACTCCTAGTGTTCATGAGGCTGTGCTTATGACAGCCCTTTCTCCTCCCTCCACTCGACCTGTATCTCCTCCTCAAAAGGCAGAAGAGGCACCAAGCGCCCAACCCCAGGTAGAAGCTTCTCAGCCCCTATAGCTCCCTGGTTCAGAAGATTCGAGACCCCTGAGAAAGGAGGACTCTATTGTGAAGCCCTTTAGCTCTTCCCAACACTCATCACTGCTGCATTCCCATAGGCTATTTCTACCCCATACCACTGGGTAGCCTCGGGTGAGGTACTGGGTGAGCCAAATGGAACATGGTCCCACACTTAAGGAGAACTAAGTCTAGTGTAGAAGGTTCAGCTCATTCTTGGGCCTGACTAGGAGACTCCTCTTCCCAGAAACACAACCCTTATCTTTGAGGAGATTTCCTCATGGAGGACAAGAATTTATTGTCTCTTTTCCTTTTCTACCTCAAGCCCATCTCTGATGATGAAACCAGTGATAGTGAAGAGATGCGGGTTAGCACAGCTGATCTGGAAGCTCTAATCAGTGGCCACTACCCCACCCCTCTTGAGGGAGATCGTGAGCCTACCCTAGCACCTGATCACCTGGATAAGTGGGTCTGTGCACAGTCCTCAAGCCAAAAGGCCACCAATCACAACCTTCACATCACAGAGAAGCTGGAAGTGCTAGCCAAAGCCTACCGTGTTCAGGGAGACAAATGGAGGGCTCTGGGCTATGCCAAGGCCATTAATGCTCTCAAGAGTTTTCATAAGCCTGTAACCTCCTACCAGGTACCTAGGGCAATGGTGGTGGTGGGGGTCTTCTCTTTACTAACCAGTCACTAGTGGGATTCAGGTATAGTGGTTAAGATTTTGTGTTATCTGAGATTTACACAAAAGGAAAGAATATGAGATTAATGAATGATTGAAAAAATCATATTAATTATTGAAGCTGGGTGATAGGTACTTGGGAGTTCATTCTATTATTCTCTTTACTTTAGGATTTTTTTTTTTTTTTAGACAGAGCCTCAAGCTTGTCGCCCTGGGTAGAGTGCCATGGCATCACTGCTCACAGCAACCTCCAACTCCTGGGCTTAAGCAATTCTCTTGCCTCAGCCTCCCAAGTAGCTGGGACCACAGGTGCCCGCCACAATGCCCTGCTATTTTTTTGGTTGCAGCTGTCATTGTTGTTTTGGCCGGCCCAGGCTGGATTCGAACCCGCCAGCTCAGGTGTATGTAGCTGGCGCCTAAGCTGCTTGAGCCACGGGTGCTAAGCCAACTTTTGAATTTTTTTACGCTAATTTTTTTGGGGGGGGGGTAGGAAGGGCTTTTTTTTTTTTTTAAAGAGACAGAGTCTCACTTTGTTGCCCTTGGTAGAATGCTGTGGAGTCACAGCTCACAGCAACCTCCAACTCTTGGGCTTAGGCGATGCTCCTGCCTCAGCCTCCCAAGTAGCTGGGACTACAGGCGTCCACCACAACACCTGGCTATTTTTTGTTGCAGTTTGGCCGGGGCCAGGTTTGAACCTGTCACCCTCGGTATATGGGGCCGGTGCCCTACTCACTGAGCCACAGGCACCACCCTACATTAATTTTTTTTAAAGTTTAGACTTTAGAGTACAACAGACCAGAATTTTCTGATTCTATGCAAGTTACTTAAATTGTCTGAACATCAGTTTTATTATTAACAAGAGGGACTAAGAATAGGCTTGGCACCTGTAGCACAGTGGTTACGATGCTGGCCACATACACCCAGGCTGGCAGGTTGGAACCCAGCCCAGGCCAGCTAAACAACAATGACAACTGCAAAAAAAATTAGTACTAATAAAAAATAAAAATAGCTGGGCATTGTTGCAGGTGTCTGTAGTCCCAGCTACTTGGGAAGCTGAGGCAAGAGAATTACTTGAGCCCAAGAGTTTGAGGTTGCTGTGAGCTGTGACGCCACAGCACTCTACCAAGGGTGACATAGTAAGACTCTGTCTCAAAAATAAAAAAAAAAGGGACTAAGAATAGTAACTATTAATAGTGTTCTTATGAGGCTCAAATGAGATGGTCCCTGTAGCACAGAGCCTAACATACAGTAAATATCAGCTCTCACCATTGTGATCATGATAATGGTAGTAACTAATATAATTATTCTGTACTTCTCATTGCTGGTCTCCATCCCTCTGGGAAACAAGAGATGAATAATACAGCCCTCATTCCATCCAAACTTCTCATCTTTATCTATGCCTGAGCTTTACACAGCCAGTCCAGCTTTACACAGACATCTTCCCTACCACTGGCTCTGCCCCTCCAATCTCCTCACTTCTTTTTGCCTCTGTTTCCTTCTCCAGGAGGCCTGCAGTATCCCAGGGATTGGAAAGAGGATGGCTGAGAAGATCATAGAGATCCTGGAAAGCGGGCATCTGAGAAAGCTGGACCACATCAGCGAGAGCGTGCCTGTCTTGGAGCTCTTTTCCAACATCTGGGGAGCTGGGACCAAAACTGCCCTAATGTGGTACCATCAGGTCACTCCTTTACCAAGCCCCCACAAAGTTTTGCTTTCTGTCAGAGTTCCTACTCCAGAGTTCTTTTACCGTGTGCTCTGATGGGAATGAACCCAAACCAAAGAGACCACTTTTCAAGGGACCAGAGCACATCTAGATCGCTCTTCCAGCTCCCAGAATAGCTTTGTTGCTTGGTATCCTTGAGGTATAGGCAGGGACAAGAAGTACATCGTTCTGTCCCCAGATCAGCAAGGGCCTTCCTAAAGGAATCAGGCCTCAGGGCTGCATGTCCAGAGCAGTGGATCTCAAATCTGGCTATGCCCAGAATCATCTGTGAGCTTGGGAACAAGGAAGATGCCCAGGCCCGTCCCTGACTGATGAATTATGACCAGTAGTTTTGGATTGTGGCATGTCTTCCATGTCCCCTGCCTTTCCCAAGTCCCAGTGTGTACAAACCCAAGCATCTGAACTTGATCGTACCTTAGACCTTCCCTAGAGAATCTGGGGCAATGGAAACCTCATGTGTGTGCTCATATGTACCTCTTCATTAGTCTCATGGCCTTCATTTCTGCCTGCTTTTATTTTAGGGCTTCCGAAGCCTGGAAGATATCCGGAGCCAAGCCTCCCTGACTATCCAGCAGGCCATTGGCCTGAAGCATTATGATGATTTCCTAGAACGCATGCCCAGGGAAGAGGCTGCAGAGATTGAGCAGACAGTAAGCAGATGTCCCTGAGCAGTGAGGAGAGCCAGGCCCTGCCCTAAGGTCCTAACCCTTCAGCTGGGGAGCCCAGCAGGCAGAGGAGGCTGTAGATCACCAGAGATTGAGGAAAGAGCAAATTGAAACTACAGCTGCTGGCCTAGAGCATGGGGAAGTAGCTTTGGGAGGGAAGAACTGCATCACCAGCTCTGGATTAGAACTTTCTGTAGCCAGGCATAGTTAGAACTGGATTAGATGTTAGACTCGTGTTAGGAGTGCGTTAATGTTAGATTAGAGACAATTTATCCAGATTACTTAAGGATACTGGTGTTTGAACTAGGGTAGGGTAGAGTGGGTCAAGGCAAGGATTCTTAATGTTTCACCAATTTCTTTGAAAACCTGATGAAAACTATGGAGTTTTTTCCTCCCAAAATGCACAGATGTGCTAAGTTTTATCTCTCTATCCAAATGTGTAGATCTTCTGAAGCCCACTCAAGGCTGGTTCAGGATTTATATAAGAGTACAATACCAGTAGGATCAGGATCAGGGTTAGAAAAAAGCACAGTGAAGATTGAGTTAAGGTGAGGCCTCTATTAGGAATAAGATTTTCTTAATGTTGGTTGCTTTTGTGTTAAGATTTGTAGTTATCCAAGAAATACAGTTTGGCTAATATTACGGTTTTGTTAGAGATTATGGTCATATAAAACTTAGATGAAAGCCAGGCACAGTGGCTCACGTCTATAATCCCAGAGCTTTAGGAGGCCAAGGCAGGAGGATTACCCAAGTGTGGGAGTTTGAGAGTAGTCTAGGCAATATAGCAAGCCCCTGTCTCTTAAAAAAAAAAAAAAAAAAAAAAATTAAAAATTAGCCATGTTTGGTGGTATGCACCTATAGTCTCAGCTACTTGGGAGGCTGAGGTAGAAGGATTGCTTGGTCTCAGGAGTTTAAGGTTGCACTGAGGTATGATGGAACCACTGCACTAGATTAGAGAGAGACTAGGGTACATTTAGGGCTAGATGTATCATTTGGTCAACTGACATTAGGATTAGAGGCTGCTTTTCATAGGCAAGTGTTGCGCACTTTGGTCAGGGATTCTGATGGGATGGGCCCCTTCTGACCCAATTTAGTTGAAATCAGCCTCCAGCTCTTTTCCTGGCCACAAAACTATGAGACCCGCACAAGATGGATAGATAGGCTTCTTTGTCCACCTGTCATCAGGCTTTGGTGCCAGTGATAACACTGTCACTCAGCCACAGTATCCAGGCACAGAGAATGCCCTAGTCACCCCTTCCTCCCCCACCCCACCCACTAGAACAGAATAGGCTTCCCACCTGGCCTCCCACTTGCCCTACCCCCGCCCCCCCCCGCACCCCCCACCAAGGGCTCCAGCCTTAGGAGTTTGATGGTATTACTCATCTGGGCCGCCTCTTCCCATTCTCCTGGGAGGCTCAAAAAGGGAATGAGGGGATTAACAGAGGCTGCCTGTCAGAAGAATTGAACTGTCCAGGGCCCCAGAAATCTTGGTGTCCCAGGGTGGAGGCGGGAGGCCATCTGCATGTGAAAGGCCTAGCTATTTCTGGGTGGAGGCTAATGCGTTTATTTCTCCTTAAGGAGGGATCAGCCTTCAGCTGAAGGTCCCCTCTGTCTCAGTTCCCTCCCCACCAGGAAAGGATATGAGCATTGCCTCAGAATTTCCACCCCTCCCCACACCCCCTTTGCTTTCTTTTCTTTCCTTTCCCACAAGAGCAGTGATATTTTTGTGTTCCATTTCCTCCCAGGCCTGGGCCTGGGGTACACTGCCAGCCACCTGCTCAGACTTCAAGCCACAACTCACATGCTGCCTTTAGCTCTAATCCATGGATACCTGGGGCCACTGAGACCTTCCAGGCATCTAGCCCCTAGTCTTACATGGAATTTCACAGATCTGGCATGTGGGTTGGGGCAGGGGCCAAGAGAAAGTGTCTCTCTTTGCTCTTCTTCTTTTTTCTTTTTTTTTGAGACAGAGCCTCAAGCTGTCCCCCTGGGTAGAGTGCCGTGGCATTACAGCTCACAGCAACCTCCAACTCCTGGGCTCAAGCGAGTCTCTTGCCTCCGCCTCCCATGTAGCTGGGACTACAGGTGCCCGCCACAACGCCCGGCTATTTTTTGGTTGCAGCCGTCATTGTTGTTTTGGCGGGGCCGGGCTGGGGATTCAAACCCGCCACCTTAGGTGTACGTGGCTGGCGCCTTAGCCGGTTGAGCTATAGGCGCCGAGCCTCTCTTTGCTCTTAAAGAATCCCGGAGGTGCCCTCCTTCAGAAGCAGAGAGAGCAACTTCTTACATCTCTCCTCAGGCCTCCTGCAGTGTGAGCCTTCTTTTCTGTCCAAGTGAAGCTAGAGAACAGCAGCTCCCCAGGGTGGATTCCCTCAGGCTGGCAGCAGGTTTCTGGGGATTGATTGGCTTGAAGCATAAACTGAGGGTATTGGCCTCTGGCTCTGGGAAAGCCCTGGTGCTGCCCTGGGTGAGAAACTTCCTGTCAGCCCACAGCCCCTCACCCCTCATTGTTCTTTCCCAGGTTCGGGAAGCAGCCCATGCCTTCAACCCTGGGCTGCTGTGTGTGGCATGTGGTTCATTCCGTCGGGGGAAGGTGACCTGTGGTGATGTGGATGTGCTCATCACTCATCCTGATGGCCAGTCCCACCAGGGCATCTTTACCCTCCTCCTTGACACCCTTCGACATCAAGGTATAAGCTCCATCTCTGGGTGAGCAGTTACATTCTCTAGGCAGGGGGCAGGGAAAAGGTGCTTTGTGAGAACCACATCTTTGTCTCATCTCTCAAGGACACCAGAAATCTCAGTGTCCCAGGGTGGAGCTGGGGAGGTGATTTGCATTTGAATGGCCTAGGTGTCTAGGTAGAGGTCAAGGGAGATGAGACAGCTCCTCCTCACCTTCATGGAGGTGTCAAATAGGTGTAGCTCATTCAGCTACAAGCTGAATGTTTCATCTTATCTTTCTGTGACACTGTAGAGGACAAGGGAAGAATTACTTCCCATGTTTTATAGATAAGGAGATAGGCCCTGAAGGGACAAGATCACTGAGCAGATAAGCGGGCAAGCTAGGAATAGAGACACCAGGAGATTAGGAGAGACTTGGGAGGATGGGACAGCTGAGGGCCTGGCTCCCTGCCCTCCTAGCGGTCCCATGGTATTGGCCCAGGATTCCTCACAGATGACTTGGTGAGCCAAGAGGAGAATGGCCAGCAAAAGAAGTATCTGGGTGTGTGCCAGCTCCCAGGGCCAGGGCGACGGCATCGGAGACTGGACATCATCATCGTTCCCTACAGTGAATTTGCCTGTGCTTTGCTCTACTTCACTGGCTCTGCCCACTTCAACCGTTCCATGCGGGCCCTGGCCAAAACTAAGGGCATGAGCTTGTCGGAACATGCGCTCAGCACAGATGTAGTTCGGAACACCCAAGGCTTCAAGGTGGGGCCTGGCCGAGTGCTGCCCACCCCCACGGAGAAGGATGTTTTCAGGCTTTTAGGCCTACCTTACCGAGAACCAGCCGAGAGGGACTGGTGACCATGGTTCTCAGGGAGGTGTAACTGAGCTTTCCACCTGGCCACCCACTATTCCCCTTCAGGCTCATCTGGCTGAACCTCACTACTTGAACCACCAGTCATCCTCATCAAGGCTGCTTCGAGGGCTCTGGGCCTAAGAGAAAGCCAGCCATCTCCCAGACCAGAATAGGCTGCTGTCTTTTCTCCCTCACCACTGCCACTGGAAGTTCTGCAAACAGCTCCTTACCCCATTTTAAGTGATAACAAGTAGCTGGTTTGAACCCCCAAGGCATCCTTCTTCCCCACCCTGGGAAAGGTCTAGCTGCTGGGGTCGGATAGAAGCCTCAGGAGGACAAGCAGCTATGCCCCCAGCATCATGCAGACCCTTTGAAGCAGGTGATGAAACTACTCCACATGTATTCCCTCTATCCACCCTGCTTCCTGTGCAACTGGCAGGCTGGGAAGGGGCTGCCCCAGGCTCAGCAAGGACAGCATTTGGAGATCCAGGGGCCCAGTAAAGTGCATTTGACATTCAACCTGCGTGGTTTGTGAGCTGCTACAGCCTGGTATGCCTTTTTTCTCCCAGGCAGGCACAGAGATGGCTCCATTAACTGCCCTCCAGACAGGCCTGGCCTGAGTCAGCTTCTGAACTCAGAATGGGGGCAGGGGCAGATGTTAAAATGGAGAATTATGGAATTGGCACTAGGATCTCACCTATGAGCATCTCTTTTGTGCCCTCCTTTAGGCCAGGCTGTCAAGAGGACATAAACAAAAGTGACAAGGCTCATAGGAAATGATCAGGAACAACTAAAAGGTGACCTATGCATTACTGACAGGAATAGGGTGGTAGTGGTCAGGGAAGGCTGCCTTGAGGAAGGGAGGGGGGGAGTAGGCTGGCAGGGCAATACCCTGTTTGAGAGGGGTCAGCAGGCTCTGGGGCAGTTAAGGACCAGCTTTCAAAAGGATTCTGTATGCTGAGAGTCAGGAAAAGGCCAGGTTGATAGAAGATTGGAAGTTGAGCTTTGGGGGTTGGTTTGATAGAGCAGATAGGAGTAAGTCCAGCTGGTGGGGTCAGAATAGTTAGCTGAGGCTGGCCCTTGTGGGACAGAGAGACTTGGTGGGAGAGAAAGGGATGTGGAAGGAGGCTTGGGCATTCCAAATATGAAGAGTAGTGGGCACAGAGGCCAGAGAGGGAGCTTATATTAGAGAAGCAGTGAAGAGCCTGCAAAGGCCCCATGATGTAGGAGATTTTGAGGTAGCACAAGGGGGATGTAGGCTCAAGTGTGCTGGATGGTTACAGCAGACTGTAACCTGAAGTGTGCTGGATGTGGTGTGCATGAGCATAAGTGTTTATGTTAAGTCCATTTGTCTCTGTCAGTAATTTCCAGAGCTGGCCTTTGTCTGCCTCGTCTCCATCATGGGATCTTAACAGCCTGAGAGTAGGCCCCCTACTCCAGCTTAGATTCCTAAAGTCTAAGCCACAGGGCCTTACTAGTATGGGTCATACTGAGGAAAGAACTAGAAACCCATGGAGTGTGGGGGGCCCTTTCACAGCTGTGTGCCAACTATGAGATAGCCACATCAAAGGCCCAGAAGCCTCTTTGAAGGCCAACCCTCACCCTCAAGAGCTGCTACTCCCAGAGGGGTGTGGCTGCCAAGGCCCTGGTGACTTGGGGTGGATAGGAGAGGAACCGAAGAAACTGCTGGGCCCCTAGATGTTAGGTCTGCTTTTGGCCCCTCCTTCAAGCTCTGTTGCATCTACCTGGGACTGGCCCCTCAGTTCCCACCTCTCCATAGCAAGGGTCATGTCAGCAGAAACCCAAAGACTGTGGTGTCTGGGTCCAAAAGTTGAAGTTGTATCTCTCTTTGCTTCCCATCTCAGTGTCCTAGAATGCTTCAGGCCCAAAGAGCAAGGCCTATAGGGCTAGGAGCAGAGGGAGCCAGTGGGCAGTGAGCTGTAGTTGGCTGAGTTAGCCCCTTCCTACACAGGAAATTCCAAGGACCACAGGGAGGGATAGTGCTGATTTTGTCTGGAGTCAGGGGGCTAAACCCCATTCCTGATACCCCTCCCCATCTGCCTTAGTTTCTTTCTCCATGAGACTCAGAATTTGGGAACTGCCTTCAAATCATACAGATTCCTGGTCCTACCTTCCGGCCAGAGTAACAGGTCATGGGATAAAAAAGGAGAGTGTCTGGGCCAGTACTTACTTGGTTTTTCAGTCTGACATGGGAGCCTAGAAGAGTTTTGAGGCAAAGGATATCCTAATCCCTAGAACCTGTGACTGTGTTACCTTAGTTGGCTAAAGGTACTTTACGGATGTGATTAAGGTTAAGCATCTTGAGATTAGGTGATTATCCTGAGTAATCCAGTGGGCCCAATGTAAAGATGATGAATTCTTTCATTCTTTTTTTTTTTTTTTTTTGAGACAGAGTCTTACTCTTTTACCCAGGGTAAAGCGCTATGGCATCAGCCGCTCATAGCAACCTTAACTCCTGGGTTCAAGTGATCCTTCTGCCTCAGCCTCCCAAGCACCTGGCTGATTTTTCTATTTTTAGTAGAGATGGAGTCTCACTCTTGCTTAGGCTGGTCTTGAATACCTGAGTTCAAGCTGTCCTCTGGCCTTGTCCTCCCAGAGTGCTGGGACTATAAGTGTGAGGCACTACTTCCAGCCTAAAGATGAGTTCTTAAAAGCAGGAAATGTTTCCCAGCCACAAGCAAAGATGAGAAAAGGGTTTTTTTTTTTTTTTTTGAGACAGAGTCTCACTTTATTGCCCTTGGTAGAGTGCTGTGGAGTCATAGCTCACAGCAACCTCCAATTCCTGGGCTTAGGTGATTCTCTTGCCTCAGCCTCCCGAGTAGCTGGGACTACAGGCGTCCACCACAATGCCCAGCTGTTTTTTGTTGCAGTTTGGCCAGCGTTGGGTTTGAACCCACCACCCTTGGTATATGGGGCTGGTGCCCTACTCACTGAGCCACAGGCGCCGCCCCAGAGATGGGAAAAGGGAAGAAAGTTCAGAGATGCAATGTTTCTAGTTTTGAAGATAGAGAAAGGGGCTGCCAGCTAAGAGACGTGGGCAGCCTCTAGAAGGCAGGAAAGGCAAGGAAGTAGATTCTCCTCTGAAGCCTCCAAAAGGGAACACAGCCTTGTTTTATCTCAGTGAGACCTGTGTCAGATTTTGAACCTGTTAGAACTGTGAGATAATAACTTTGTATTGTTTTAGGCCACTAAGTTTGTATAATTTGTTAACTACCACAGTAGAAAACAGACCTATAGATGTTGTGTACCTGGGTCTGTCCATGTACAAAGTGGGGGAAGAGATGGTATGCAGGGAGATGGTATGCATTCCTCCTCTGAAGTGCTGCTGGGGGTGTGGGGAAGTGAGAGAGAGAGCCTTGCCTGCCAGGTGTAGGGAAGGGTCAGGTGAGAGCCCTAGGTCCCACCCAGCCATCTCATTCCGGCTGCAACATGCTTAGTCTGAATCTCCCTCATATCTGACACTTTGTGCCAAGGTACAAATCATCTCAGGGAAGCTCTGCCCAGCCCTGCCAAGCTGGGAGCCTCATTTTCCCAGGGCCTGGGGTGATAACATCAGTCTTGGTCATACACTTGCACTGAAAGGGAAGCAAATGGAGTTCCTGTCCCTTTAAATGGAATGACATTCTTTTTGCCAGGACTGAGGACTGCAACTTGAAGACTTTGGCTTTACCTACAGGAGAGGCCCTTTCTGGGTCCTCCTCTGTTAACTTAGAAATTGACCTCACATGCAAGCTACAGCTGTTGGGACAACCTACTGCCACCCAGACTATGCAGGCATATCAGGAGCTGCCCCAGGCCTACCATGGGCTGAACCCTAAGACATTTGGCCCTATGTTTACTCTGCCCTTCAATCTGAGCACCAGCCAACTAGCTTTTCAGAATGCTTGAGCCGGGTAGCACCTGTGGCTCAAAGGAGTGGGGCGCTGGCCCCATATGCCGGAGGTGGTGGGTTCAAACCCAGCCCTGGCCAAAACTGCAAACAAACAAACAAACAAACAAACAAACCAGAATGCTTGAGCCACTGGGCAGCCCTACTTCTGTGTTCTGGAACTGGGGCACCATCAGGGCTGAAGCCCTAAAGTGGCCTGAGACTCTGGGGGCAGGTCTTATTCTCACTGTCCTACTGGGTGGCTCAGTAAGCCTTGGTTCCCACAGTGAAGGTCAGTGGAGAAGTTGAGCCCAAGCAAGAAACCTACAGTGGTTCTCAACCTTCCTGATACTGCAGCCCTTTAATACAGTTCCTGTGGGTCGCAATCCACAGGTTGAGAGCTGCTGTAAGAGATCTTCCCTGAAGAAGGCCCCAGGGCCCAGAGATGAGGATGAGCCCCAGGGATTAAGGGGCATCAGGAAGGGCTCTGAGGCTGTCTCCAGAGGACAGTGCAAATACCAGGCAAGGGAGGCCATTGCTCACTGCTTGAATGGCTGTGAAACCTCTTCTTGGATGGTAGGGGAGGCACCTGTGCCCTGTTGGACTCAGGCCTAGCCCTGACTGAGACCGCCCACAACCTCAGACATAGTGTACCTCATATAGCAATGTGCCCTCAGCCCCACTGCCCTCACCTACCTGGCTCTGTTCCCCTAGCTTCACTGTCACTGTACATGTGTAGGTGTCCCTGGATGTACATGTCCACATTGGACTACGTGGTCATTTGTCTGTGTGCCTCATGTGTGCTCTGTGTGTCTGTGTGTTCATAATTTTGTATCTGAGTATGTGTGTGCGACCCTGGTTATGTGTCCAAGTGTACCAGCCTGTGTGGGGCTCTGGATACAGGCCCCAAGGCTGTCAGAGGCTGTTCCAGGGCCTGTGGCTGGAAAGGGCGGGGGGTATCCCTGCCAGTCCCCATGGTGCTAGACAGGGCTTGTGGAAGAAGTCCCTGGTTAGGCCCTGGACTCTGGGTCCTCATGTCCATGGAGGAGGCCGCAGGGTGGGCTGCCTGCGTCAGCCTTGAGCGGCCATCAATAGCGCGCGGTTAATTAATTTGATGGGAACAGCAGGGACCGCTGTTTGCATTTAGTGAAGTTCCAGGAACTTCCAACCTCATCTTCATAATTGGCCTCATAAATTCTAAGAAAGAGAGAGATCAGCAAAGCGGGAGGGAGGAGGGGCTGCCCGTCCGTCCTTATTTAATTTTATTGCTGAAATTCATCTTTTTAGCCTCCTCCACCGGAATCAGTGCTCTCCCTGCCGGATTTGCCTAATCATGATAAATTAATATTCATTTCCCCGCCTCTTACCCAGCTCCCGCACTTGGTTGGAGTTGGGGAGGGTCTCCTTGCAGCCCCTCTGTTGAGCCTTGGTGGCAGCCTGGGAGGGAGTGGAGATACTGAAGGGGAGCTTGTCTACAGAGCTGAGAATGGCATCTGGGAGGTCTGGAGGGAAGCCTAAGAGGAAGATGGGATTCTATTACCGATAGGGGTAAGGGAATTGGGGGCCAGGTGACTGGGGATCTCAGAGGACCCAGGATGCTGAGATCAACTACCTCTGCCCAGCTAGGGCT